TGTCTACTACTAGTAGTTACTGTATATGCCGGGCACAAAACAGATCTATCTATACTAATAAAAGGGCAATATGCTAATTAGACCGGGAGACCTTCCAGACGTCCTTCTGGACAAAGCCATGGGGGGAGGGGAGGCTGAGGCAGAGTTGGTTAGGGCCAATCAGGCCAGGAGGGTGATCAGGCTGGCGGGGGTGGAGGCGGGGGGGGGGGGGGGGGAGGGAGGGGAGAGACAGTTGGGAGCAAGCATTCTAGCAGTGGGGGGCAATTGGGGGCAAGCAGGCCGACAGTGGGGGGAAATTGGGGGTGAGCAGGCCAGCGGGGGGGGGCAGTTGAGGGCGAGCAGGCCAGCAGGGTGGGGGCAATTGGGAGCCAGCAGGCTGGCAGGCAGAGTGGTTAGGAGCCAGTGGTCCCAGATTGCAAGATCCCGTGGGATCGGGCCTAAACCAGTAATCAGACATCCCCCAAGGGGTCCCAGATTGGAGAGGGTATAGGCACACACACGCACACACACCCCTGCACAAATTTCATGCACTGAGCCACTAGTATCCTATATTATAAAGATCTAATATGCAAATGGTCATTACACTGTGAAACTAACAACTGATCACATAGTAACAACTGGATCACGGATCAGCAGGAGGGTGAGGCAGCGAACTACAAGTGGACAGTGGAGAACTACAGGAGGGGGAAGGGCAGCAAGCTATGGGGGGCAGGGGAGCTACAAGAGGGCGGGACAGCAGGCGGACAGCTACAGGAGGACAGCAGTGAGCTATTAGCAAGCTATTAGCACACAGATTCATGCTCAGGGCTACGTGCGTGTGCGTGTGTGTGTGTGTGTGTGTGTGTGTATGTATGTGTATGTGTGTATATATATATATATATATATATATATATATATATATGACTAAGCAACCAAATGACCGGTTGACAATTCACTATGATGCACACTGACCACCAGGGGGCAAAGGCTAAACACAAGAGCTACCCCCTGGTGGTCAGTGCACTCCCACAGTGGGAGCACCATTCAGCTGACTAATGGGCGCCAGGCGCAGGGCTCACAGCTGGCCGCCGCAGCCTGGAGACCACAGCAGAGAGAAAGGGAGCCTACCAACCAGTGGCAGCAGGCATAGCAGGGCTGAGATGAGCAGAAGCAGCAGACAGCGTTGGACTGCCAGGTTCAGCCTGATCCCCACAGGCCATGCCAACAGACCCCACCAGTGCGCGAACCTGTGCACCAGGCCTCTAGTATTAAATAACTGCCTACTTCTTTTCTTTTTCTTCTACAGAAGGTAACTCAACATCATGGGTAACTGCAAGGCTCCAATTCACTACGTTATTCTATTCTATCCTCCCAAAAATTTTGTATAGCAAGAACTTTAAAATGTTAAATGCAGCTGAAATCGGTTTGGCTCAGTGGTAGAGCGTCGGTCTGCGGACTGAAAGGTCCCAGGTTCGATTCCGATCCAGGGCATGTACATTGGTTGCAGGCACATTCCCGATAGGGGGTGTGCAAGAGGCAGCTGGTCGATGTTTCTCTCTCATCGATGTTTCTAGCTCTCTCTCTCTCTCCCTTCCTCTCTGTAAAATATCAATAAAATATATTATAAAAAAAGTTAAATGCATATTAATTTCATAAATGGACTAATATCTTTATTCTTTAACTTGATATTTATCCTCCTAAGAAATATTTCTATGGTGATGACACAAGTAGAAAAAAAAAGTCACTGAATTATAAAGATTCACATAAAAATGAATGAAAGTGGTACTGCTTTAGAAATCATCCACCAAAGATTCCATAGTTATTTTTATTACAATGGCACCATTAACTTCATTCTCTGCAATTAATCATTTTTGTAGTATCTTTAATTTGGGGGGAAAAAATCAAATGATATTCTAACTACAACCACACAAAAATCAAATTTTATTTGTCAGAGTTGTCCTGAAGATTAAATGAAATAATGTATAAGAAAATGCTTGATCAGGTCCCTGGCATTTAATATGCACTTAGTGATAACTTCAGTAAAATCTAATTCTCTTATTATCCTAAATTCCTTTCAATTAATGAAAGAGTCCTTATAATAGCATTTATAACATAGGATTTATGGAACTAAAAAGCTTTAAAAAAAAAAAAAAAAAACACACCAACTTGATGCCAATACAAACCAGAAAGGTGTCCATTTTAAATTCTCTCAGTTTAACAACAAGGAGGTTTATCAAGATACATACCACTATAATCAAAGCCAGTACTTCACTCTTCCCCTAAAAATTACCCTTCAACTAAAACTTAAAAAGTTTTTTTAAAGGTCAGAGATATAAGTTTCTCTTACTTTCATTTCTAAAGATGCAAATGCCATAAGCATACGAAATATAAAATTATCAAGGCCAATGTCAAAGGAAAGGACACTGACACCAGCTCAAACTGGCTCAAAAGTGTCCACAATAACCAGGGGAGCTGCTTCACTCAAGTGTGACACCATCCGAGACAGCCAGTGTCAGGACTGCCTATTCCCCATAACAAGTGATTCTTCTCTAATCCTCTGGACTTTCTATGTGAACCCTCAGATCTGCTCTATCTCACTGGCAATCTCCTCCATCTATATTAAGTAGACTAGGAGAACTTCCGGGAGACCAGCCAGGGAGGGCAGTTGAGGGCCATGAAGCCGGCAGGAGAGGGTAGTTGGGGTGATCAAGCCAGCGGGGGTGGGGGGCAGTTGGGGGGCGAGAAGGCCAGCAGGCAGAGTTGTTAGGGGCAATCAGGCAGGCAGGCAAGTGAGTGGTTAGGAGCTAGTGGTTCTGGATTGCTGGGATCGGACCTAAACTGCAGTCAGACATCCCCTGACGGGTCCCATATTGGAGGCCAGGCTGAGGTACATCTCCCTCCCGCCACCACCACCACCCCCCCCATACAAATTTCATGCACCAGGTTATCTAGTATATAGATAACGCCAATGCTTACACCTGTCCTACCAGCTGGATACCCTGAAAGCATCTTAGTGTGTGCAAAATTAAACATTTCAGATCCGTTCCTCCTATGCTCCTGTGTTTCTTAATGGTATCACTATCTTCCCAATAGCCCAAGATAGAATCTAGTTTTCTTCCCCTCAGCATCCCCCCTCTTCCCAAAAGCAAATCAGTTTCAAAGAAAGATCTGTCACTTATCTCTACAATACCACTTAGGACCTATTTCATATTCTATCTCTGATTACTACTGTCCTAACCCACACTAACTGTTCCCACCTGGTGGCCCACCATCGCTTATGCTTAAAGTGAGTCCACCTACTTTGTACAGACTGATCTTGCTATGCATCTCCCTCCCCACACTACAGTCCCCCGCTGCATACCATGGCATGCCAGATTTTTCAGAACTTGAAAGAACTTTCCTCTGATCGGACCATTCATTCACTTGATCTTGGAAGCTCCCCAAACTCAAAATGCTCTAACCTCACCTTCAAGGCCATTACAATTTAAAAAGCCTGTAATGTCATGAAAACAAGACCATTCCACTCTTCACAGGCTAAAAGTCAAAATTCTCAACTCAACCAACAGGGACCCACATGGCCTGGCCCCTGCCTACCTTCCCAGTCTTGCCAGATTCCAACTCAAAGTCACTTATTCAATCACTAAACTTAACATTCCGAACTAAGTCAGGTCCTCTCTTTGTCCCCTGCTCTTCATTTCCATGGCCTTAGGCAAAATACTACGTTGATTATTGGATAAGTCTCTTCTTTCAATTATACATCTACTTGTTAACAGCCTGTTTCCTGACTAGAATGTAAGATCCATGAAAGCAGTGACCCTGTCTAGCTTGTTTTTCGTATTTCCTCACTCCTCCACATCGGAGATCAAAAGTGTTCAATAAAGCCCTGGCCTGGTGGCTCCACTGGTGGGAGCGTCGTCCCATATACCAAATGTTTCTGGTTGGATTCCAAGTCAGGCTGTGGGCTCCATCTCTAGGTGGGACACATACAGGAGGCAACTGATCAATGTTGCTCACATTGATGTTTCTCTCTCTCTCAGCCTTCCTCTATCTTTCTAAAATCCATAAAAACATATCCTCTCGCGAGGATTTTTTTTTTTAAATGTTCAATAGACACCTATCAACGGCATGCGGGGCTCTGTAGCTCCCCTATGACTAGGGTTATTTGTGTACATATCTTGTTCTAGCTATATTCCCTGTGAACTAGGCCAAAGTTTGGCTAATCTATTTGTGTGCATTATCTGGAAATCCTTGCACAACTGAAACAAATAAAAGATAACTACTAATTAATTAATGAGTGATCTCTCCAAGAGGTACTGCCCTGAACCAGGCCGACTCAGAACTCCATATTCCCCAGAAACCAGGGCAAACCTCCTTCAATGCCCTGACCGGCAGACCCTCTTTCAATCTGCGGCTTCCAGGGAGCTTCAAAGGGCTAATTTCCTCACTTTCCTTTACCCAACAATCATCGATTCTTCTAATACCTCGCAATCCTACCCTTTCAACCTCGAGCCAACAAATCACTTCCAAGGTCCTCTTTTTTCAGAGTGCCTCGTCTATCCAGCAGTCATCCAGCAGTCGGGAACTAACTCATCAGGCCCTAGGGAACAAGGCTATGTTCAAACCAAGTGTTTAATAAGTAAGACTGGCTCTCCCTTTTTCCCCTTTCCTTTCACACCTCGTTTATCCAAAAGAGGCCCATTTTCAGAGACGGGCTTTGATACATTTTAGGACCCTAAGCTTTTTTTTCCTTCCCCCAGGTAGCTCGCCGCACCCAAACCCCCTTTGGGGTGCGCCCCCACTTCTGCCTCCAACCTTGTCATCGCCCAGGATAGGAAGACCCCAGGCCATACAGACGAGGATCTCCCCGGGAGCAAATGGTCCTCAGACACCGTGGGGGGGCGGCCCCACCTCCCCACTTTCTGTCTGACACCCACCTCGGGCCTGCAGCCGTCTGGAGCCCCCCTTTAGCCTCCAGCCCCTGGCTGGGCCCGGCCCTCCCACACCGCCTTCCACTCACTCACCTGAAGCGGCCCCCGCAGTGCTGGCACTGCTCGCCCACCCAGCCGGCAGGGCAGATGCACTGGCCAGTGCCAGGGTTGCAGCGGCCGCCGTTGACACACGGCCGGTCGCACTCCTTGGCCTCGGTGGCGACCGAGCCCGACACCACGGCCGCCGCCGCCGCGGCCTCGGCAGCCCCGGGCAGCAGCAGCAGGGGCGGGAGCAGCAACAGCAGTAGCAGGCGCGGGAGGCGCAGCCCGGCCCCCAGCCCCGGTCCCCCGGCTCGGGAGGCGACCCTGTCGCGGAGCGGCCCGCCGCCGTCCCTGCCCGTGGTCGCTGTCGTCGTCGCCGCCGCCGCCGTCCGCCTCCTCAGCCTCGCCTCAGTCGCCGCCGCCGCCGCCACCATCTTCCCGGGGCTGAGACGGCGCCCCGAGAACACATACACACGGCTCGGCCGGCTCCGCTGCGCCTGGCCTCGCGGGGCGGGGCTGCGCGGACGGTGGCTCCCGCGGCCCATCCTGAGGGCGGAGCCGGGCCGCGCGGCCGGCGCGAGCACGCGTGCGTGAGTGGGCGCCCAAGTCTCGGGCGGTCGCGCCCCGAGCTCCTGTCCGCGCGCGACCTACGCTGAGTCTGCTGATCCCGGGAACCCCCCAGCGCCCACCCCGAGGGCCGGGTACCGGATACCGGGTACGAAGGCCCCCTAGCGGGCTGGTTTCTGCGCTTCGGCCCTGGAAGGCGGCCGCGGGGTAGCAGCCCTGAAGCTGGGGGGGTTGAGGGGGGGTGTCCCCCCCCCCGCCCTTCCCTGCTGCCCGGGAGCCGGCCGAGCTGCTGGCCCAGCCGGGCCGGCGGGAGCGCGACCCTCTCGCGGAGCCCAGGGCTCCCGTCATCGCTCTGTCCCAACTCTAACTGCGGGGTGAAAAGGGCGTAGGAGGCCGCGTCGTGGTGTGGGGCGAGGTGCTGCGTTCAAGCCTCTGCTTTCTCCTCTGGGAAACAGAGACGACGAAATAACACGCGTGTTAGGTACCTAGTGTGCAGACTGTGCTCCGTGCACGCTTAATAAACTAAACGAGTACACACACAGCCTAACCGTTTCCTTTGATTCAGGCTGATCCAGAAGCAAACCGGACCTCCTTCTGTGGAGGAAAATTGGGGTTCTTATTCCACATCATTTGCCCTCCAATCATCCCTGACGAACGGAGGCAGCATAAAATGAGGAGTAGAAGCACCCTCAGCCAGCACAAGTTTGCCTGTAGACCCCTTCTTATCATTTTATTATTTTGATGGTCCCCCTATGAAACATGCTTCCTGGCAGTATAACATGTGTGGTCCCTGACCTTGGAATCGACAACCTTTGTCTCAGCCAATAGAAGAAGGTGGCAGAAGTGGCCATGTGCCTGTTACAGATCTGAGCTTTAAGAGCTCCTGGCAATCTTGATGATGAGCTCTTGATAATTCTGAGCTGCTCCCCTACCCCCTCTTCTACTTTGCTATAGAGAGATGATATTGAGGAAAAGTAGGGACACCAAGAACTGAAACCCCAGACACATGAACCTGCCAGATCCATCCCAACTGAGTGGCCAGCCATTAAGGGAAGAAGCCAACTGGATTGTTCCTCATAACCTAGGACAGAGACAAGTCCTTCCTCCTGTGCCTTTTCCAAAATCCTAAGAAATGATAATAAAGTGGCTTCTGTGTTAAGCCTCTGTGTGTTAGAGAGGTTTGTTACTCAGCAATAGATAACCAGAAGTGAAATCAGACTTGTCTTCACTCCCCACAGCAAAACTGAAACTCAGGCTGTGAACTTTCACATTATTTTACCAAACACTCATGGATAACCAAATGGTTTGGCTACACAGAAGAGAAATACAGCTGCCCTTGAACCTTGCTTGACGCAGCAAACGTTCTCTTTCTTGCTTCCTTAATCTCCTCCCTCCTTTTGTTCTTTTTCCTTGGCCTCCAAACGTCCTCAAATTATCTTTTCCTTAAAGCAAACAAAATCTAACCTTGACCTATGAAGGGAAGTATTACTATCTTCTTTCTCATTTATTTATTTTTTTTAATAAGTTTTTATTGTTCATATTATTACAACTGTTCCTTCCTCCCCACCATTGCTCTCCTCCACCAGATTCCCACCCCACCCTCTGCCCTTTCCCCACTCCCCATTGTCCTCATCCATAGGTGCACAGTTTATGTTCAGTCTCTTCCCACACCCCCTCTCCCCTTTTCCCCAAGAATCGTCAGTTCACTCCCCTTCCATACCTCTGATTCTATTATATTCAACAGTTACTATTGTTCATCAGATTTTTTTTTTAATTTCCTTGGTTTTTAGATTCACTTGTTGATAGTTACGTATTTGTTGTTCATAATTTTTATCTTTGTTTACTTTCTCTTCTGAAAGAACTCCCTTCAGCAACTCATATAAGTCTGGTTTGGTGTTGATGAACTCCTTTAGCTTTTTTTTATTAGTGAAGCTCTTTATCTGACCTTCGATTCTGAGTGATAGCTTTGCTGGATAGATTGATTATCTTTGGCTGTAGGTTCTTACTATTCATCACCTTGAATATTTCTTGCCATTCCCGTCTGGCCTGCATGGTTTCTGTTGAGAAGTCAGCTGACAATCGTATAGGTGCTCCTTTATAGGTAACTACCTGCTTTGCTCTTGCTTCTTTTAATATTCTCTCTTTGTCTTTTGCTCTTGGAATTTTAATTATGATTTGTCTTGGTGTGGTCCTCTTTGGATTCCTTTTGTTTGGAGTTCTGTGCGCTTCCTGTACTTGTAAGTCTAATTCTTTCCCCAGGTGGGGGAAGTTTTCTGTCACTATTTCTTTAAGTATGTTTTCGATATCTTGCTCTCTCTCATCTTCTGGGACCCCCATAATTCTGATGTTGGTTCGCTTGAAGTTGTCCCAGAGGTTTCTTACATTATCTTCAATTTTCTGGATTCTCTTGCCTTCTAGCTTCTGTGGAGGAGTGTCTTCTGGCTCTTTATGTTCCAAATCTTTGACTTGATTCTTGCGATCTTCCCTTCTGTTTTTAGGACTCTGTAAAATATTTTTTATTTCAGACAATGTATTCTTTATTTCTTGTTGTTCCCTTATCATTTCTTGATGACTCCTTATTAATTCTAGTTGATTTCTTTTCATGTCCTCATAGGTCTTATCCATCTTTTCTAGGAAATTCTTGAAAAACCTTATAAGTGTAGATTTGAACTCTATATCCAGTCGCTTTTTGTCCTCCATTTCTTTCGTTTGTGATCTATTTGGTTTAGGCATTTTTGCAGGCAGCTTTCCTGATGGGGCGGGGTTTCAGGGAGGAGCCTACAGCTTTGGCTTCCGTCAGCCCCACCCTATGCGGCTCCTGAGACTCAGGGTCCTTCAGTACTTGTTGTAAGCGCCTCTGAGAGAAAGGCGCCTTCGATTTTCGCCTGCTGCCAAACAGTCAATGCTCTCCCCCAATGAGCCCGGTATTGGGGTTCAGTTCAGTTGGAAGTGGAGTTGGAGGTGGCATTCAGAGCAGACTGGAACCCCTGTCTCCTTCCCGCCAGGCAATCCTGCGGCACAGCCGGCCGTCCCTTCTCTGCGCGCACTGGGCGCCACCGCCGGGACCTCCTTTCGCAGCTTCCCCGGGTTCCGCCTCGCAGCCCAGCTCCCTCTGGCTGAGCCTGAGTCCCCGGGGTCTGGCCTAGGCCTGGGGTTCAGAGCAGTCGGGGGCCCAGCACAGTCGGAGTTTTATCTCCTTCCCGCTTGGGAACGCCCGCCAGGCACTCCGCCTCCCTCCTCTCCAGCTCCGTCCTCTCCGCGCGCCGCGTGTCTCCGTACCTTGGGCTTTTCCAGCTCCTCTGCGCTTCCTTCTGGTTTTCTCCTTGCTTCTCGTTGTAGAATTTCCAGTCAGTCAACTTTCCTGTAGTTCTGGGTGATGTCCATTTTATATTTTTGTTGTATTTTATTGAAATTGTTGTGTGAGGCTGCAGCTAGGTATTCACCTGGGCGCAGCCATCTTGGAGGACCTTCTTTCTCATTTATTATTGCTGTCAAAGAGTTTCCTACATTTCCTATCTTTGTGGTATATTAAAGTTAGTTACAAATTCTTTAACACTCCTTCCGTGGAGAAATGGGGACTAATCACCTCCTCCCAATTCCTTGAATCTGGACTGGCCTTAGTGTTTGCTTAACCAATAGACTAACTGATAGTGCTAGGACTTCTGAGTTGAGGTCATACAAAGTCTTGCAGCTTCCTTCTCAGTGTCTTGGAACACTTGGCTCTGGGGAAATCCAGCTGCCAGAATAGAAATTCAGCTACTTATTCTGAGACTGCCATATTATGAGGAAGCCAACTCCAGCCTCAACTATTTGAGTCTTCCCCGTTGAGACCCCAGACACTTTTGAAGCCGAGAAGTATCATCTCTGCTGAACTCACCACGAATTACAGATTTGAGCAAAATAAATAAGTGTACTTGTTTCAGCCACTAAATTTTGGGACAGTTGGAAGCAGCAGTTGATTACCAAGTTACTCTGTAACTTGCTTCCTGCAAAGACAGGAATAAGTCTTATGAGGTAAACTTAGATTAAGAATGGTGAAATAATTATATATACATTTTTAATGTACAATAAGTCATGTATATGTATATGTATATGTATATGTATATGTATATGTATAAAATACAAAGTGGATTCTGATCTTATTGGCCAGTTGCACCTGCTCCTGATGGAAGAAGTCACTGCAGCTCCAGAAGTATTTCTGTTGGACTCTTGCTTTATCATTAAGGTTTTGTGGCTTTTCTAACTGAAATTCCATGCCACCTTCTTCTCTACCATACTAGTCTTTATCAGGGTGGTCACTTCCAGGTCCTAGAAACTTTAATGCCAATAGCAAAGAATTTCTAGCCTTCAATCTGGAACTGCTCTAAGTCCAGACTCTAAATAAGAGTCTTCACCAACTTTATGGCCAAGGAGGTTTGCATGCACTATGATAGTTTGAAAGTACCTCTGCCAATGTGTGTGTGTGTGTGTGGGGAGGGGGGTGTTTTAATCCTTAAGGATATGTCTTTATTGATTTTACATACATAGAAACATTGATCAGTTGCCTCCCATATGTGCCCCAACTAGGGATTGAACCTGAACCTAGGTATGTCCCCTGACAGGAAATTCAACCCACAACTTTTTTGGTGTACAGGATGATACGCCAACCATCTGAGTCACAGGGCTGTGTGTGTGTGTGTGTGTGTGTGTGTGTGTGTGTGTGTTGTTTACTCAAGAAAAGCATTCTCTCTGTGAGGCCCTTTTGCTCTCTCTGATTCTATGTAATCATTTTTTCTCTTTGCTTGCATCATCTCAAGGTCATGGACATGGATGGGTTTTATAATCCTTGGTTTTTATTCAGGCAGTGCCTTAGGTCAGTTTCTCTAGA